TCAGGCGGTTTGCTTGTTTCTGGGCTCAACATCCTTCGCTTGGAGAGCAGATTGTGAGGATGTCTCAGGCGGGGCGCTGGTTTCAGCACCCCTAAGGGGAGCCGCCAGGGGTGGTTGCACGGGCTCGTTCGCGGCCATTTTGTGGGGATGTCTCAGGCGGTTTGCTTGTTTCTGGGCTCAACTCCTTCGCTTGGAGAGCAGATTGTGAGGATGTCTCAGGCGGGGCGCTGGTTTCAGCACCCCTAAGGGGGGCCGCCAGGGGTGTTTGCACGGGCTCGTTCGCGGCCATTTTATGGGGATGTCTCAGGCGGTTCGCTTGTTTCTGGGCTCAACATCCTTCGCTTGGAGAGCAGATTGTGAGGATGTCTCAGGCGGGGCGCTGGTTTCAGCACCCCTAAGGGGGGCCGCCAGGGGTGTTTGCACGGGCTCGTTCGCGGTCAGTTGTGGGGATGTCTCAGGCGGTTTGCTCGTTTTCATGCCCAACATCGCCGTCGGGGCTGCGCCTCCAAAAGTGGTGAAACGCGCCCTGGGGAACCAGGGTTGGGGAGGAAGAGGGGGGGGAAGAGGAGAAGGAGGAGGAGGGGGAGGAGGAGGACTGGGGGAGGAAGCAAGGGGATCAGGACGATGAGGTGAAGGATGACGACAAGGATGAGGAGGATGATGTCTAAGAGATTGAGGACTTGACTCGTGCTCCCCATGGTGCTCCCCATGGTGCTTCGGACGCGGCGCCGAGGGAATTCTTTGCCTTGGCAAAAAAGATGCGCGGGCATATGCACGTGAATGAATGCATGCACGCGGTGGATGTGCAGCCACGCTGCGCGCGCGTGTGCTCGCCGCTCACATGGACGCGCTCGTGGAGCAAACATCTATCATAGATAAATGCTCACCGTGGCACTACCCTCCAACATGACATGCACTTATGGCCTTGTGTGGCTAAACGCTCGTCTTACATATCCCACTGCCAACTATCCTAAAACATATGCCCATATGGGAAGCTCCAAAGCTACCACGGGCTGACAAGGAGAAGGCCTGGCAGCTGAGGAGGGGGGATGAAGAGGAAGAGGCTCGCATTCAACCATACTCAAAGCTCACTCTGACTCATGCGCAATCACTCGCATTAGGGGTCACTCGTCTTCGTCGGCCCTGTCGCCCACGTGGACGCGCTATTGTAGTCGACCGCTCATGAACAGACGGTCGCCACGGCGTGACATAAAACATGAGATGCACATATGGGGGGCTCCACGCAGTGAGTAATTTTTGAATACCCTCCTCGCTCAGGCGGGGCCTCCCTGGAAGAGTGGGAGGGGCACGAAACCTCAACCAAGGGGCGCGCGTGCCATGGCTCTTGCGCATAGAAGAGGGAGAGGAGGAGCAAGGGGAGGAGGAGGTTGGGGGAGGGGAAAGGGCCGCGATGTGTAAAAGAAAAAGAAAGCGGTCGGGGCGGAGAGGGCACCGGGCTGCGGGAAAACAGCGGGGACCAAGAGCTTTGGCGGAAGGAGCTTGGCGCTGCTCGGGAACAGACGCGAATAATAAAGTCGTCGGGCGAAACGGCACTGGGGTGCTGGAGAACAAGGGGACAATATGGAGGCAGGTGCGGGGGCGGTGGCCCGCGAGGAGGAGAAGGGCGCGGCTGCGACGCAGGAGCGAAAGCTGTCGGGGGGGAGGGGCGCGCATGCGCTGCGGAAGGGGGTCAGGTGCCGTGCCGCGCCGGGACGGAACTGAGGACGTGGGGCGGGCTACGAAATAAAATGGTCGGGGCGGAGGGGGGCCTTGGCTGCTTGGGACAGAGAGGGTTAGTGAAGACTAGGGGGCCGCTGGGGACAGAGCTGCGGACACGTGGGGGGGTGCGCGAAATGAAGTGGGCGGCGCGGAGGGGGCGCTCGGCTAATGCCGGCAAGCAGGTGGCGAAAACAGGGGGCAACTGGGGGCAGAGCTAGAGCGCGGGACAAAGAGTAGGTGGGGGGGGCGACGCGAAACACGCGGCACATGTGCCGCGGCATGGGGAGGGGGGGGGGGGGGGGGGGGGGGGGGCGCGGCGCGACGCACTTCATTCGGGGGGGAAGGGGCGCGACGCGGAAGCACGTGGTCGGGGCGGAGGGGGCGCTGAGCGGAGATCCCCTGCGCCGCCGGGGAGTGCTGGGCAGGTGGGGGGGGGGTGGGGCGAGGCGGCACTGGGCGGAGGTTCCACTGGGCTGTTCGGGAACGCAGGGGATGCCGGGGGCGCGCCGCGACGCCGCAGAATAAAGCAATCGGGGCGGAGGGGGCACCGGGCCGCTGGGGAGCGCTGGGGAGGGGGCGGCGGGGGCGGGGAGGAGGGGCGCGACGCGACGCGGAAACTAAGCTGTCGGGGTGGAGGGGGCACTGGGCGGGGGCTCCACTGGGGCGCAGGGGGGCGCCGGGGGGCGGGGGCGACGCGACGGAGACAAAATGGTCGGGGCGGAGGAGCCACTGGGCCGCTAGGGAAAACCAGGGAGGGGCAAGGAGGGGAGGGCGCGACGCGATGGAGAAGAAACTGGTCGGGGCGGAGGGGGTATTGGGCGGCGTTTCCATTGGGGCGCGTAGGAAAGCTGGGGAGGGTGGCTTGTGCCCATCAGGGCCGCTGGAGACCGCTGGTCGGGGCGGAGGGGGCGCTGGGCGGAAGTTCCACTGGGCCGCTGGGGGGCGCTGGTGAAGGGGGGGGCGAGGGCGGGGAGGCGGGCGCGACGCGACGCGGAATAAAGCGATTGAAACAGAAGGGGCGCTGGGCGGGCGGCCCACTGGGCCGCGGGAGAACGCAGTGGAAGGGGGGGCGACGCGACGCGGGAGAAAGTTGTCGGGGCGGAGGGGCACTGGGCAGAAGTTCCATTGGGCCGCTGGGGGGCGCTGGGGAGAGGGGGGGGGCAGGGGGGGGGGGGGGGCGCGGCGCGACGCGGGATAACATCATCGGCGCGGAGGGGGCATTGGGCGGAGGTTCCACTAGGCCATTGGGGGGCGCCGGGGGGGGGGGGGGGAGGGGGGCGGCGCGACGCGGACTAGAATGGTCGGAGGTCTAGACACCCCGCGCAAGAGATTGGTCGGGCTGGAGGGGCACTGGGCTGCCGGGGTCGGCGGGGAAAGGTGCCGGGGGCATCTCCGGCGACGCAGGCGTAAGCCGGGGGCGGTGGCGGAGGGGGCGCTGGGCTGCTGGGAGTCAGCGGGGGGCGGCGGCAGCGGCGCGGGCTTGCGGGGGCGCGGGCGGAGGGGCGGGAAGGGGGCGCGACGCGAAAAAGAAAGAGAAGGCGGTCGGGGCGGAGAGGGCACTGGGCTGCGGGAGAACAGCGGGGACCAAGAGCGTTGGCGGAAGGAGCCTGGCGCTGCTCGGGAACAGACGCGAAGGATCAACTAATCGGGGCGGAGGGGGCGCTGGGGCGCTGGGGGACAATGGGGCAATGGGCGCAGGCGCGGGGGCGGCGGTCCGCGGGGAGGGGGGGGGGCGCGGCAGCGACGTGGAAACTAAGATGTCGGGGGGGAAAGGGGCGCCGCGATGCTGGAGCGCAGAGGGGGCAGCGGGGGCAGCGGGCGGCGGGGGGCAGTGGCGGGCGGCAGGGGGCAAAGGAAATGAATGGCTGCGACGCATGAAATCAAGTGATCGGAACGGATGGTGGGCGGGCGCCGCGCCGCGCCGAAAAAGCGCGGCCGGGGCGGTGGGGCGCGCTGGCTGGCGGGGAAGGGGTGCGGCGAGCGAATGCTGGCTGCTGAAGGGGGGCCGGCGCCGCGCCGCGCCGGGGCAGAACTGGGGGGGGGGCGCGCGAAAGAGAAGGGGGGATCGAGAGGTGTCCCGCGGTGTCCCGTGGTGTCCCGTTGTGGCCCGTGGTTCCCCGTGGTGCCCCGTTGAGTGAGATCGACAAGTGTCCCGTGGTGTCCCGTGGTATCCCGTTGAGTGACATCGATAGTGAGATCGATTGAGCCAGTTGTTGGCCCCCCCCCCCTCCCCCCCCCCCGCGACCTCCATATCGCCCGAAGGGTGGTCGTGTAGGTGTGGCGTGGCAGGGGGGCGGGAGAAGGGAAAGGAGGAGAAGGAGAAGGAGGGGGTGCTCAAGGAAAACAGGGCCCCCACTCAGGATGAGGAACAAGAGCCCACTCAGGATGTGGGGGGAACTACTTCGCATGTCAGTCTGCTGGATGCCCAGGATGGACCTGAGCACGTGCATCTGGACACAAGTCTGCCAGATAATGTGGCAGAACGTTCCCTCGCTCAGCCTCTCGCGGAGCCGCCGGCTCCAACGACGGGCAGGACAGCCAGCGCCAGAAGCCCATGCGCAACCGCTGGTCATGCTGCGGCTCAGCAGTACCTCTTCAAGTTCAAGCAGGGCCCAATCTGCATCAAGGCGGCTTCATTCTGGAAGAAGACGGTCGGAACCTGTCAAGCAATGCACTGCTGCGTTGGACGAGCCCCGCCCGGTAAGGCCCCAGGCCCTCGACGAGAAAAGCTAGGGCGCGGCGACCCGGTCCTCGGCAGATCAGCTGCAGCGTCAGCGTCGGAGGCTCGAGTCCATGAAGGGCGAGGTCGAACAACTTTTCTCGCGCTTTAGAAGGCCGCCGACATCCACGCATGAGCAGCCCCTCGAGGGCTGCGCATACCTGCAGGAGGAGGCCCAGCAGCTCGGTGCCCAGCGCGCCGCTGCAACGCGCGCTGCGGTGGCTGAGGCGGCGGCTAGGCTCGACGGAGGCGCCAGCAGTCAGGACAGGGCCCTCGAGGTCGTTGCTCAACGCTTCTCGCTTGGAGGACAACCAGCACTCAAGACAGAGATTTTGCGCATCAGCCTCGCGCAGGACGAGGAGTGGAAGGCGGCCCTCGCTCGAGCTCCAGCTCAAGCTCTGCAATCCGCACTGGCACAAGAGCCAGCTTCAGCGCCACAATTGGCTGAAGTGCCTGTGCCGGAAACGGGCATTGACCCAGGTCCTAAGTTTAAGCACGACTCGACTTACACGTCCTCCAAGCCTTCAGCAAGGGCATTCCCGGTGGCCTCAGCGACGAGGCGATGCAGGCGAGTGCGAAGCTCGTGAAGCGCCAGGCTGGGGCGGCTGCTAGCGCGGCGGCTTCCAAGACAGGAGGCAGGAGGCAGCATGGGTAACATTTCGACCTGCGTTAGTCTCAATTGCAGCAGTCGGGCAAGGATTCGCCAGTCTCTAGGTCCCCAATATGCTAAGGAAGTCCAGGCCGTCAGTGGCCAGGAGACCCGGCTTATCCAGGACATCTTGGAATTAGAAAGACAGTGGTGAGCTAATGTGGGACGGTTAGCAGTTTTGATACCATCGATTGTGCGCTTCACGGGTTTTACCAGTCAGATTGAAGTTGTCTTAAGGATCGCCAACATTCCAGTGCCAGAAAGCTTTGCCAGTTGCAAGAGCTGCACTCGCATCGCTCGAAGCCCATTGTCATAAGCCCTTTCTGTCTCGCATCTCTATCTTCCTGGCCGACTGCGTCGGCCCCAGCGAGGAGAATGTTTTTCAGTCCTTGCGTCAGTCTTCCAGGTAGCTGCTGACCAGTGTCTTCCATTTCTGATGGCCGGCGGCCTTTTGTAACGTCGGCGCGGCCAAAGTAATCGAGACCGATTTCCCCGTGCGCACAGGGGTCCAGGTAATCGTACCAGGAGAGCCTGTTCTCTACACCGAGAAGAGCAGGCCCACGATTGATTAGTCCATGGGTCCCCATTGTTTCGCGCACTACTTGAAGCAGCCCAGGGCCCTGGTCGAGTACCTCAGCAGCCCTCGCAGGCCAGGTGTCTTGGATATGTGGTTCGATCACCTTCTCCCATCCCCGCCCTCGAGCAGCCTCAGCAGATCCCAGTGTAGGCCCATCTTGACCTTCGGAAGGGCATCCATAAGCAGAGCCGTGCATCTGGGAGATTGGAGATCTTGGGCGCTTCCTGGGCCGCAGAGATACGCAGCGCCATGATGGGCCCGATCAGGCCGGAAGTAGTTCAGTTCCAGTTGTAGCTGCAGCCATGGACTCGACCTGCGGCTATATGGTGGATGACGTGTCTGCCGCTCTCAGCGCCTTCGCCGGCGCCCCTCCTATGAGCTCAAGGATGAGATCCCAGGCGCTTCGGGCCAGGTGGATCAGATCTTAGGCTGTCGAACGGAAGAGTCCGAGGTGTTGGAATAACGCGTCTGTTGTTTTCAGGTGGTTGAGGAATCAGCTTACCAACGCAAGGACGGGCGTGGAACAGGGGCAGCTTGATGACGCGCAGCAGGCTGCAGGCCCAGGTCGATCTTGCCTCTCCGCCAGCAGTTTTTGATATTGTCTCCGAGTTGTCCGCCCGTCTCACCAGTGCCAGAGCGCGCGTGCAGGCTGCCTTGGTAAATGCCGCGCAGTCGGAGCCCAACCTTGAATGCCCTGAGCACGCGTTCGTTGATCTTGACTCGGGCATGCTTGCGCGATGCCGTGGAGAAGGAACTCTCTAGGGGCCGGCTCAAGGACGAAGGCTCGGCAATTTCGGTCAGCGAGGCCATTTCGACGGGGGGTGGGCGGGCGCGCCGATGGAGCGATCTGTCAGCCAGCTGGCAGCCGTCTAGAGTTTGAAAGCCTTCCCAACAAGGTTGGTCGGGCAGGCCGCTTGTCTTCTTGGAGCCAGAACAGCAGCGTCTGTCTTACCTGCGGCAGTCTGTATCACAGGTACCTCAGTTTCAAATTTCCGGTGCTCGAGGGCTTGATCTTGATGATACTGCCCAAACACATTGAAGGAGTCCGAGTAGGGGGACCAGGTCCAGCACTGGCACAAACTCGGACGGTTTCCACCTTCGTCACTTCAGTCCCCAGAAGGACTCGAACCTTGAACTCGCGTGCAGGCTGCTCGGGCCTATCGAGCGTGCAAGAGCCTTCCCCAGCCAATCCGTGATTGTCCTCAGCGAGAGACACAAAATTGCGCCTTCTCTTGGCCACAGTTATCGGGGCAGTGGCACGGCGCCCTGGCGTTGGAGAGGCCCGGGGGAAGGAGCATCGCGAAGGTGAGTCCATGTCTTGGGCAAGGGCCTTTCTTCGGGGGCACCTGGCGCGCAAAGCAGACGCGGGAGTCCCTGCTGTCATCTTCGAGCAGGCCATGGAGAACAAGGGCCATCTCGTGAGCCCCAAGATGATTTACTCTGGAGCTGTCTTGTCAACGACAACGAGTTCACAGATAGGTCGCGCTGGCCACACCGCGCGATGGGCGCCAGTTTTTTTCAGACCCGCTCGTGGGCGTTATTCGTTGCAAGAACCATTCGCTTCGACCTCGTGGCGCCTGGGCCTCAGCTCTCCCAGCTGGAAGTCCCTTGGGCAGCATGGCGGCGGGGTGCTGGGCAGCGACTTGCATGGTGCACCAGCATTGCCTACCGCCAGTTGATTCGCGCAGCCACCGATCCTCATCGATGTATTCTCGTCGGCCAACCGCAACAGCAAACCAAAGATATTGATAGCAGATCTCGCGGCGGCCTCGGCCAGCGCGCGCCCGTCGACCGCCCGCGGCCCGGGGCGCGATTGCGCAAGGACGTCCACGCCGGCGGCGGCTCAGTGACGCGCGGAGCCCGCGCCAGCCACGCTGATTTGTCCGACGAGCTCGGTCAGCGGGCCGGGCCCGGCCAGGCCCTGCAGCAGCCCCCCGCTGGCAACGTGGTTTTACATTTCGCTGCCGGAGCCGGGCTGAGGCACAAAGGCAGGACAGCCCTGAGGGCACGGTTCGCCCAGCCAAAAGGGCGTCTCTTCAGATTTCCCGCCCAGCGAGCAGCTGGGGCAGATGCCGAGAACTCGCGGAACGCAATGTTACAGCAGGCTGGGCACTTCGGGACGGGGGTCTTGGAACTCACGCGGCCAGGGAAGTGACAAGCTAGGATATGTTTCCATGTCGGTTGCTAGACTTTGTTATTCCACAAGAACAAGGGCCCTCTCGCTGGCGCTCTTCGAGGACCCACTTGGAGGCCCCGGGATGGACCGTGCTTGTGCTGGAGCCCGGTTGTCTGGGCGGCCTCGCAGAAACCCGCCAGCCCCAGGTTCAAGCTCGCCGAGTTAAGACAGCTTGCAGAACGCATTATGTGCAAGCCTCCATTCGGACGGGGCCGCATACGGGGGCCCCTGGGAGCTGCGCGGCTCAGCTTGACGCGCACCAGGCGGCCGTGAAGCCCGCCCTCTGAGTGCGCCAGCTTCGACGGGGAGGGGCCCGTCGAGGACTGCGCCCCCCGCCCTCTGGAGAAGCGCGATGGCCAGCTCGCGGCGCAGCCTGTCTAGGCAGGCTGTAGTAAAGATGGGCGTGGACGAGATTGACATCTCGCATGCCGCGCAGGACCTGTCGCCAAAAGATCTCTCTCTGAGCAGGAATTCTGAATTCTGCTCGCCTACCTCGCCCAATGGATCTGGATCATGAAGGGGCTCTTGAAGGCGCCTCGATCAGGCCGAGCCCAGGTCCCTCGACGGGCTTTTCTCCCGACTGGGCTTCTGCAGGCGAGGTGTGGCAAAACAGCGGCCACCGTTGGTTTAATGCTCATGGCTGGGCGTCGGTCAAGCTGGGGCCAGATGGCTCCGCGGTGGCCTTCCTCCCTCGCCCCCAGCAATCGAGCCCCTAGCCGATTTTGCCGCCAGTCAGTTCAGAGGCATCACCAGAATACCTTCATGTTTCCGGGCAGTTGCGCGCTTCCGCTCCCCAGCCGAGCCTCCCAATCGCAGGATCTGTAACACGCCCGGTCACCTCGGACTTGGCACCCCTTAGCGAGGGCTGGCGGCACGCCGCCGGCAACGGCGCGGAGGGCAGGGCTGCTGAGACGGCTGCCGCCAAACTCCCGCAGCTTCCGCAGCCGGGCGAGCTGCTGGAGCCGAGCTGAACAAACGCCTGAAACGGCTTCTGGAACACGTTCCGCGCGCTGGCTGAGTGGCCAGCTTTCGCCCCTTGCGTCGGCGGCAGAAGGCCTCGAAGCCCGCGGGTCAAGTTTAAATCCCGAGATTGGTGCAGCGTCGGTCTCGGAATCGTGGCGGGGTGGAGCCAACTCTGGCGGCGGGCCCTCGGTTTCTGGGGCCGCGGCGGCCCCTCCTCTCTACTCAGTACTCCTTGAGGGCGGCCCCCCACAGCGCTCGTGCTGGCACGAGCGGACGCGGCAGTCGAGTCGTTGGCCTTGTCAGCTCTGCCACCCGAGATGCACCAGTAGCGAGCTCCCGCGTTGCCCAGGCAACGCCGCCGTCCTGGTAAAGTTTGCTACCCAACCCAACGGTCACATGGTGCATGTGTTCGGCAGGCTGGATGAGGACATGTTTATCCTAGCCTGTAGCGTTTGTGGCAAGTACGCGGAGTGTACCTTCAAAGGGCTTCATGACAGTTGCCTTAGGGAGTTCGGGACCCACATGCGAACCCTACCCCTGCCCCCCATGAATTCTAAAGGGGAAGATGGGTCTCACTTCGCTCGGGAGCTCCCGAACGAAGTGAACCCCACTGCCCCTCAGAAGCCGTGGGGGGCAGGGGTGGAGTTCGCATGAGGCCCCCTAGGAGTTCGGTTCGAGCCTTGCCCGTGGAGCCTGGTTTCTATTTGCTTCGGGAAGGCATCCCGAGGCCTCAAAGCAGAGCCCAGTGTTTTTTTGTTCATCCAATCCCATAGAACGGGCGGCCGATGGAGGCTCCCACCAGTCAAGCCCTGGAGTCGTCTTGAGCGAAATCGACTCCTTCCGAAGCCGTGCGATGGTCCTCCATGTCCCGCCCCGCCCGCCCCCGTCGGCGTCGGCCGCCGCCGCGCCAGGGCCACGACCCGCGGGCTGCCCGGGACCTGGAGCAGGAGCGCGGCCGGGATCTGGGCGGGCAGGCCGGGGAGCAGGTGTGGAGCTCAGTCCTCCCAGGCACGCTCGCGTCGTAAAACGACGTGTGCGCATTTTCAGTTCAGATCCTGGCAAGGTTGCCTGCGTGGCGTTCCCCCCCCCCGCCGCCGTTCGAAAAGGGCTGGGCCGAAAAGGCGTGCAAGGGAGTCCCGACTTGCGTGAACTCCAGATTCCCATTCGGGCCTCGCCACGCCCCCCACCTCTCCATGCAAGTAGCCTTGCCATGTTCTGCAGAGAAGCTTCCTGCCACGACGGAAGCTTTTGACAATTGTCGGCTTTCGCGCTCGCTCGCTGGGCACTGGGACCGTCGAAAATCAACTCAATGATGACAAGCCGTCCTGGGGGACAGGCTTGGGACTTCCGGAGGCCCGGCATGGAAAAGTTCAAAATGTCGCGTGAGATGTGCCCGTCCTCGTTCGCAGGCCCCCTCAGCTTGGGGAGGGGTCTGGTCAAATAGCGGGTGCTGCCGATCAGTGGGGGTCCGTGAATGGGGAGGGGCACGTCTGACACCGAGGAGTTCTCAAACATCAGCTTGGGGAGGGGCTTTGTCTGATAGGGGGTGCGTTGCAGAAGGAGGGGCCTGCGTAGGAGGAGGGGCGCGCCTAGCACCAAGGATATGTGTTTCAACTCCCTTGGGGAGGGGCTGTGTCTAACAGACGGCGCCTTGCAGGAGGAGTGGCACGTCGATCGCCAAGGAGCTATATAACAATCAGCTTGGGAAGGGGCCTTGTCTGGTAGAGGACCCCGTGCAACAGCAGGGATTTGTCAAAGGGGGGAAGGGACGATTGGGGAGAGGTCTTGTCTAATAGGTGAGGCCGGCGCAGGAGGAGGGGCACGACTGGCACCAATTATATTTTTTCAAAAACCAAAAAGGCCTAGGGAGGCGCCTCGTCTAACAGAGGGTACCGCCCAGCGAAAGGGGGCCAGCGAAGGAGGGGGGGCACGTCCAGCAGCAAGAAGTTTGTTTGAATCAGTTCCGGGAGGCGCCTCGTCCAATAGACGGAGCTGGCATAGAAAGAGTGGCACGTCTAGAACCAAATAGACTTTTGTACATCACCTTGGGGAGGAGCCTAGTCGAACAAAGTTGACTTGTCTGGCACAGATGCGACCAGTGTAGGAGGAGGGGCACGTCTAGCACCAATGATTTGTTAAGACATCAGCGTGGGGAGGGGTCTCGTCTGATGGAGGGCGCCGCGCAGGATGACGGGCCTGTGCATGAGGATAGGTATGTTTAGCACCAAGGGTGTTTGTTTTAATCAGCTTGGGGAGGAGCTCTTTCTAGCAGAGGGGTGCCGTGCAGGAGGATGGGCACGTCTAGCACCAAGGAGCTTTACAGGAGTCGGCTGGAGGGGTCCTGCCTAGTGGAGGGCGCTTTGCAGAAGGGAGGGTGTGCCACACGGGAGAGGCGCGTCTAGCACCGGGGACATGCTTAAGCTCAGGTTCCGGGAGCCTTGAGACGGGGGTCAATGCAAACGGGGGTCAGCCAGGGCACCGGATCCTGCAGGATCCTGCCAAGACCCCTTCAGGCGGACCCGGGTTAGCGAGCCGCTTGTGGCCGCGAGGCGGCCGCGCATCTTGGTTGACCCGGGTTTGCGAAGACCTGCGTTGCAGTTTTTGTTTCCTGCAGTGCTGTTTTTGGTTTCCTGCTGACCCGCGTCTGGATCGACCCGGGTCAGAAGATCCCCGAAGGTTGGGGAGTTGTTGAATTCTTGGGAATTTGCCAAATTGGGCCTCGGCATCCAAGAGACGTGCGGAGATCTCCCAGAGGCCCCAAGAGGCATTCCAACCAAGCACAACAAGTCTCTGGGAGGTCTCTTGTCCACAGCGCAGGCACCTCGAATCACCATCTTCCTGATCCTCGATCCTCGAACCTTCCTCTTTGACGACTCGTGCCCACCTCTTCGTCCTCGATCCGGTCGTCACTTTTACAGGGGGGCGGTCCCCAAAAAATGGACAACATGTTTAGGGGCACCGGTGCCCCTAAAACGCTCCCCCTGTTTTAGGGAGATCGGTTCCCCTAACATGCCATCCCATTTTAGGGAGACCAGCCCATCTAAGAATGACGCTCGTGTTATGAGAGCATGTGCTCCAAGACGGCCTTCCCCGAGCACCCAAGAGTGGCCCAAGGTGATTCCATTAAGTTCGATTAACAAAACATAGGAAGGAAAACTCTAAGGGGGCTTTGGGACCCTCCATCTTAAGATGGTCCCGAGATCGTCTTCTGACGCCCGAGAGGCGCACAAGAGGCCTCCCGAGAGCCCCCAGAAGTACCCACGAGGTCCCCAGAGACCCAGGGATGTCTCTTAGAAACACAAGAAGTCTCTGGGAGGTCTCTAGTCCACAACCCAGGTACCTCGAGCCACCCTTCTCCTTGATCCTCGATCCTCGAACTTTCCCCCTCAACTATGCTCGAGCCTCTTCCTTCCCTTCTCCCTCCTCCACCACCCTCCTCCTCCTCCTCCTCCTCCTCCTCATCATCATCAGCATCATCATCATCATCATCATCATCATCATCATCATCATCATCATCATCCTCATCCTCATCCTCATCCTCATCCTCATCCTCCTCCTCCTCCTCCTCGTCCTCCCCCTCGCCCTCCCCCTCCTCCCCCTCCTCCTCCTCCTCCTCCTCCTCCTCCTCCTCCTCCTCCTTCCTCCTCCTCCTCTCAAGCATCTGGGCCCGAGAGGTTTGCAGGGGAGCAGATCCAACGGGCCCACTGTTGCGCGCGCACCGCGCGTCCGCCCCCAGTGCCCTGCGGCAGGTGGCGAGGCGCGCTCGCGGCTTGAGGGGCACACCTGCAAGGTGTGGCAGAAGTCGCAGCAGAATGACGACGGCTACGAGACATACATGGGAGGAACGCGCCCGCCCTGGAAAGAAGGATGTCGAGCGGCTAGCAGAGCTCGATCGCACTCACGTTCGAAGAAAGAGCACCAGGGCGGGAAGAGGAGGCCTTTTGTGGTGTGCAGCACGTGCTCTCCTGTTGGCAGCAGCTGGATTTATTGTGACCGCATCGCTGACAAGGCCAAGTGCGCTAAGTGTGGAACCATGTGGTCAAGCATATCGACGGAGACAGCACCGCCAGATCCACAGACCCTGGCTCTGGTCGCCCTCCTCGCAGATCAGTACAAAGCGGCCAAGGACGGCAACAACAAAGAGCAGATGGATTTGTTGGAGCGAGCGTGCCCTCAGTTACGAGTTCCCGAGCCAGCACCGCCACCAGCACCCAAGCCGTTCGAGGAGTTGGAAATGGCAGCCCAGGCGCTCCGTATGGTCACGACGGCGGGTGAGAGGCTACGCAGGCGACTCCAACGCAATGCAGAAGAACAAAAAGACATCCTGGAAAAGCTGGCTGACAACAAAATCGCCGAGAAAGAAGCTCAGCAACAAATGGATTTGTGTCGTGAGAAGGCGAACAGAGGACAACCACCTTCAGCAGCGACAGTCCCTGATGATGCAGTTGCTCCAGAGCTCAGCAGTGAAGAACTGGCATTCCTGGGTGAAGCAGACAAGAAAGAGTACGAGGCAGCCAAGGAAGCGGCCGCGGCAGCGCAGAAGACCTTGGAAGCGGCGAAGGGAGCCACCCAGGCCCGCAAGGAGGCCGCCGAGAACCTCCGCAAGTTCGCAGACAAGGCTCAAGAATGCAAGAGGCGCCGTGGCAATGGAGGACAACCATCAGTTGGGGGCACCCAGGCCAAAGATGAAGTCCAAGAGGAGCCAGCCGCAGAACAGACCAAGCCGTACGACTTCACGAACCCTGATGAGGTGGACAGGTACCTGGAGGCCACAGTACGCATTCGTGGGAGGAGCAAGACGGTTGTGGCGGCAAAGACGGAGTCCAAGACGTGTTCCTAGCACTCGGCGCAAGGTCACGTTCCAGGACCCCATCAGTGACGAGCAGGACCCGTTTTTGTACGATGACCAGCAGTACTCACATGTATTCGTGGCGAATATCTAACAGTACAATGCGTCAGTTCGTGATTTCATAGTGGGTTCGAAATACGATGTGGTGGGCTTAGTGGAACACCACCTTCAGAGGGCGAGCGCAGCCAGCGAGGCCCAGCGGCTTCAACCAGACGGCTGGCATTCACAGTACACTTGGACAGCAGCAAGGAAGACGGGGCGATCAGTAAACGGTACTCATGGGGGAGTGCGTTGGTTACGTCGCTCGCACCTCCAGACTGCAGTGCACCTACCCACCGTCAAGGGGAGCAGCGCCTTCGAGAAGGAGTTGAATGACATTGCGGTGGTGCACTGGGATTTGAAGGGAGGGATACGTATCACACTCTTCGTGGTATACCTCGACAGCGGACCAGGCCTGGCAGGGCCCAATGCAGCGAAGATGAAGCAGCTGACACAGTTGACGGCTAGTATCTCTACACCGTGGATGGCAGTGGGTGATTGGAACGTTACCCCAGATGAGTTCATGCAGTCCACGTGGGCGAAGAAGCTCAAAGTTACCCCAGTTTGCCCGAACATCGATGCGATGTGTACGAGTGGCAGAGGCCGCATGTTAGATTATGTTATCTGCCCGCCAATATTCAGGCCTTTCTTGGGTGGGGTCATGGCGGTAACGAAGGTTCCGTGGAGACCTCATGTTGGAGTGCACATCCGTATCGCCAGGAAGCCAGCCAAGTTGCAGATCTTGTCTCCTGTTAGGGCAGAGCAGCACAAAGTACCATACATCACGGTGCATGTCGAGAAGGGCACCAAGAGGAAGCAACGAGACCGAGAGCAGCATGCAAAGCTTACGGAGCACCTGCCAGAGTTGGATGACATAATCTATGACACAGACCTGCCGGAAGAACAACAAGCTCTCCAACAAGAACGAGCAGACATCGACAAGCTCCTTGACCCGGCGTACTCCAGAGAGGTATTGGCTACGGTCTCGGACGATGTATGGCAAGACATTCGAAGGCAGACAGAACATTGTGAATTATTCAGCCCAGACAAAACAACGGT